CAAAATTGGCGTTAATGTTTTTTTAATTTTCTTTGAAAACGGTTTTACGAATTTTCTTCCGTAAGAAACAAGTGCAAAAAGCCGTCAGCATAAAAAACATCAAAAATCAACTCATTTTTACAGTAGCTTAAAACTTGCACTGTATTATACTAAAATCCGATGGGCTACATAACTGCATACTCAAAAAAATTTTTAAATTTTTTATGTACTCATTTTACTCAACTTCATTGTAAAAAAAAAAATCATAACTCAAATTATTGTAGAGTGCACCCCATAATAATATACTTACCAATGTGATTTTTTCATTTTTTTTTTGAGATGGCATATTTTCAAAATCTAATTTTTTTATAAAAAAATTTTTTTAATATTTTTTTTCATAGAGAATTTCGATGCGTGTATGTGTGATTTTTTTCAAAATATTTGGAAAACTATTAAATCGATTTGATTTTATTTTTGTGCTATAAAGTTTTTAAAAATGTATTAATCACGCTCAAATTACGTATTTATTTATTATTTATGTTTATGCACCAACCCTAAAAATTTGAGACAAATCAAACACATGAAGTGTGAACCCCGTCCGTTTTGGTATGGAACGTCCCATATGCATATGCACATATATACATTTCCATTTAAGATTATTTGTGTGGTTTGTCTTCAAACGAACGCCTGACACGAACGCTCTTGCATCCCTTTAATTGACAATAATTAAAGCTGTATAACAATGCAGGCACGTGTGAGGTGAGTAAGAGCATGTGTGCTAAAAATAAATGATATTTTAAGTGTGTACATATTTATGTATGTATAAGTACATACATATGTACATAAGCGTATGCATTTATAGGCGCTTAAATTAGATGTGTACAAAGCATTTAAATTAAATTAAAGATGCATCTAAAAATATTACCATGTTCATATGCATACATTTACATATTTAAATATTCATTTAAACAAGTACATACATGTTTGTTCACGTATTTGCACATGTTTATGTAGGCACCTAACTTAGAGACATGTGTTAATATATTTATGCTCATGTCATTGATAAGATTTACAACATTGAGTAACTAGAGTAAATTACTAATTGTTTACAACAGCAGCAATACAGCCTAATAAGGAAACATTAAATTATTTGCATACGCGCACATGTTGATGTTGATTACTAAGTATTTATTAACTACTAGCTCTGTTTGGTTTATCTCTCTTCATTATTTTCTAAATGACTGAAATTTAATAATGCTCATTTATTGGAAAAGCAAGAAAACTGTTGAGTATCTATATCAATTGAATACCAAAGTTCGCTTGTAAGGCGAGACGAATTGGTTTTTTTTTAACTGCTTAAAAGGAGAAGCCCATAGAAAGAGGAACATCTTTAACTAAGAGCGGCTGGATGTCAAAGGATCTAAATTTTCATCCATTAGAATATTGCTAAATGCC